AAAAAAAAAAAAAAAAAAAAAAAAAAAAAAAAAAAAAAAAAAAAAAAATAAAAAAAAAAAAAAAAAAAAAAAAAAAAAAAAAAAAAAAAAAAAAAAAAAAAAAAAAAAAAAAAAAAAAAAAAAAAAAAAAAAAAAAAAAAAACAAAAAAAAAAAAAAAAAAAAAAAAAAAAAAAAAAAAAAAAAAAAAAAAAAAAAAAAAAAAGAAAAAAAAAAAAAAAAAAAAAAAAAAAAAAAAAAAAAAAAAAAAAAAAAAAAAAAAAAAACAAAATTATGGTGGAAAGGGGGGAGAAGAAAAGTAATGGAAATTTAGGGAAATTTGATAGTTATAATTCAGCCCCCACGCCCCAATATACTTCCCCTTTGCCCCAAAAATTTCCCAATTGTGAGGAAGTGCATCAAGAATGCTTTCATTGTAAACATTAGCCAATCTGAAGGGAAAGGGAAAAATATATCCGCTCAGGATTATTTTAGGTACTAGTAGATGGACAAGAATGCTGGTTACGGAGGAGGTGACAACAGGTGGAACAACACAGTGGGTGGCAAGATGTATTGTTGATTAAGGCTTATATTCTCTAAGGTGGCAAGGATTAACAGATTTGGACTACTGCTGGAAGGTGTAGCTTGCTAGAGCTGCCTCTGTTGGAATGAAGTTTAAATTATGGTTGAAATTAGGTAAGTCTAAGTAAGGATGGACTCTGTTAATTTCCTGGTGTTAACATTAGTTGAGGAATAAATGATGCAGGCATCTGCCCAGTCCTTCCGATGGTTGGCATCCCTGAGAGGACAGCAGACAGCTTATCTTTCATGTCCTTTGCAAATAACGGATCTGTGTTAAAAAATGCGTGACTCTCCCTAAACTCATTTTCTTAACACGAACGTCGTTGGTAAGGGTCGTGGAAGTGCCATCTTATGCCAGCTCCGAGGTGAAAGCCATTGGATGGGATTGGTTGGTTGCCTGGATTGTTGTTTCCTCTGCTATTGTTTACATCTGGAGCTTAATAGAATACAGCCTTATTAAGACTATGCATAATCTCAGCACTTAATTCAGACTTTATGCCAGCAGGCTCATTTCTAGGAAGTTACACATGAGGAAATTTTCCAAATTGTGTGTGTGCTTTCTGCCTTATAGGACTTATTGTCTTCTCTTGACTCATGATCTGGTCACCACATGTTCAGTTTGCTGATACCTCTGTTTAGAATCTTATCTTTTGTCCTACCCTACTCAGTATCTGAAGTTATAACCACATGAGGTTGATATATGCTTTCCCATTCTTTAGTTAAGTACAGTTTATTCTGCAGGTACCTTGATGTCGTTCCTCAACTTCTTAACAGTAATATCATGATGTTACTGTGTATCCATCAATTTTACAAACTGTAGGCTCAGATGTTCACTAATCCCTCCCTACTTGTCTCCCACCTCTTCTGTGAAGTATAACAATACACCTTTGTTTTCAGTTCTCATCTGCTGGACCTGTGCTCTCCATTCGTGTGTGCAGAGACATGATTACTCGTCGCTCTCTGGGGTATGCTTATGTCAACTTCCAGCAACCAGCTGATGCTGAACGAGCCCTAGACACAATGAATTTTGATGTGATGAAGGGTCGGCCGATCCGAATCATGTGGTCGCAGCGTGACCCTTCCCTTCGAAAATCTGGTGTTGGCAATGTGTTCATCAAGAACCTTGATAAATCTATTGATAACAAGGCCATGTATGATACATTCTCTGCATTCGGGAATATTCTCAGCTGCAAGGTAAGCATGATTTCCTGTGATACCAGTGTCTGACAAATTTTCTGGAATATTTGATTATCAGTCAATGAAGTTACAATTATTTTCACATTACCATCATGTATGCATAGGTAGTTACTGTACTTGATACATTGACCAGTGAACTATATTCTTGAAACTAAGGTTCTCTTTCTCTTCTTCAACAGGTTGCTACAGATGAGGCTGGCAATTCCAAAGGCTATGGATTTGTACATTTTGAAACCGAGGAAGCAGCAAGGAGTGCTATCCAGAAAGTGAATGGTATGTTGCTTAATGGCAAGAAAGTTTACGTAGGCAAGTTCATCCCCAGGGCAGAACGGGAGAAAGAGTTGGGAGAGAAGGCTAAACGTTTCACTAATGTGTACGTTAAGAACTTCGGTGATGACCTGGATGATGATAAGCTCTACGAGATTTTCTCGCAATTTGGCAAGATTACCAGTCATAGAGTAATGACAAATGAGGATGGCAAATCCAAGGGCTTTGGTTTTGTTGCATTTGAAGAACCTGAAGCAGCTGAGAAAGCCTGTGAGGAATTCAATGGTAAGGAAATGAATGGGAAGCAGATCTATGTAGGAAGGGCTCAGAAGAGAGGAGAACGCCAAGCGGAGCTGAAGAAGAAGTTCGAGATGATGAAGATCGAGCGCATGAACAGATATCAAGGAGTGAACTTGTACATCAAGAATTTGGATGACACCATCGATGATGAAAGGCTTCGCAAGGAGTTCTCCAACTATGGTACCATCACAAGTGCCAAGGTTATGACTGAGGATGGGCGCTCAAAGGGCTTCGGATTCGTTTGCTTCTCAACACCTGAGGAAGCTACTCGTGCTGTTACAGAGATGAATGGCCGTATCTTGGTCAGTAAGCCTCTGTATGTCGCCCTTGCTCAACGTCGTGAGGATCGTAAGGCACATCTGGCATCTCAGTACATGCAGCGTGTGGCTGGTATGCGCATGCAACAGATGGGACAAATGTTCCAGCCTGGTGGCACAAGCTACTTCATGCCTACCATGCCACAAGCTCAGCGTTTCTACTCACCACAGATGGCTCAGATCAGGGCAACTCCTCGCTGGCCAACTCAGCCAACGGCCCAGGTGCGAGCAGGTGCTCAGGCAGCCAGTGCTTTCCCAATGCAGGCTGCCCCTTACAGATCAGCCCCTCGCCAAGCACAGCCAGCACCCCGCAATGTCCGTCCTATTACTGCAGCAGCTGCAACTGCTCAGCAGCAGCAAATCCCGAACTTGATGCAAGCAGCCAGGCCTGTTGCACCAAATGCTGGTGCAGTACCACCTGCACTTTCATCTGCAGCACGCGCCTCAAACTACAAGTATACAACCAACATGCGCAATCCACCAGCTGTGTCTGGAGGCGGCCCAGCTTCAGCTGCTGCAGTGGCCCCTGTTGTCCAGCCCGCTGTACACATTCAGGGACAAGAGCCACTCACTCCATCTATGCTGGCCTCTGCCTTGCCTCAGGAGCAGAAGCAGATGCTGGGAGAACGTCTCTTCCCCCTCATCCGCGACATCTATCCCGAGCTTGCGGGTAAGATCACTGGCATGTTGCTGGAGATTGACAACTCGGATCTTCTGCACATGCTCGAGGATCGCAACTCCCTCAAGGCAAAGGTGGAGGAAGCTGTGGCTGTGCTCCAGGCCCATCAGGCCAAGCAGCAGGTCGTGGCTGTTGCTGTTGCTGCTCAGAAGAAGGAGGACATGTAAAAATGCCCTACAAGCAAGCATTCCTCCTATATTTTAACAACCCATTATCAGTGCTGCATGTTGCTTATTTTAGTTTTACAGTTTGTGCCCAGTCATTGGAGTTTTGATTTTTTTGCTGTCATTTGGTTATTTTTGTTTCAAGGTTAATTAGCGATATTTGTAAAGGACATCATTTATTATTTGCACGCTGTCTTTTTTTTTTTTTTTTTTTTTTTGGACTCCAATAGATGCGGCATAGTTTAGGTTCGACCACAACCACG